TTTTTTTTTTTTTTAATTTTATTTTTTTCCAGATGAGCTTTGTGTACTTTACCACAATGCAGCATAGAAAACACAGGCTTATTTATTGCCTAACAGCATATATGTGTTTTATGATTAATGTGCGGTGTTTGCTATACACGGCACTGATAATTGATAGGGAGATCAAAGTCTTCTGTGAATTGACAGCAGCACTATAAACAAGGTGAAAAGGTTGCAGGTGTTTCCCATGCGGGTGTTATATAAAAACATATGGCCCTCTGCCACAACACAGGATACGTGCTGTCTGTCTTTCCCCATGCAGCAAGACAGTGTTTCTGTAGCACATCCACGGCAAGTGCTGGAAAGGAAGAGAGTCCGTTTGTGTGCTGCAGGAGGGGCTGCACCGTGCCATGAAGGTTGGATTAGATGATCTTGTAGGTCATTTCCAACCGTGTGATTCTGTTGTTCTGTGTGCCCCTTGTTCCATTGCTCCTGTCTTGGCTCATGGCTGGATGTAGTGATGTAACCACCAGGAGCAGAGAGGTGATCGTCCCTATGCACTCAGCGCTGATAAGGCCGCACCTTGAGTGCTGTGCTCAATTTTGGGCCCCTCTCTACAAGAAAGATATTAAGGCCTTGGAGTGTGTCCAGAGAAGGGCAACGGAACTGTGAGGGGTCTGGAGCAAAAGTCTGATGGGGAGCAGCTGAGGTAACTGGGGTTGTTCAGTCTGGAGAAGAGAGGCTCAGCGGAGACCTCGTTGCTCTGTATAACCTGAAAGGAGGTTGCAACGAAATGGGGGTTGGCCTGTTCTCACAGATCACAGTAGGATGAAAAGAAGTAGCCTTCAGTTACGCCAGGGGAGGTTCATGTTGGGTGTTAGGAAACATTTCTTCTCAGAAAGAGTGGTGCTGCAGTGGCACAGGCTGCCCAGGGAGGTGGTGCAGTCACCGTCCTGGAGGTGTTCCAGAGCCATGTGGATGTGGCACTGAGGGACGTGGGCAGTGGGCATGGGGGGATGGGATGGTGGTTGGACTAGATCATCTTAGAAGTCTTTTCCAACCTTTACAATTCTAGGGTTCTGTCAGGGTCTCATGCATCTATGACTTCTGTGGCCATGGACAAACTAGGTGCTAGGAGTGGGGTGAGAGACCTGGACTGTAGCTCTGCAGAAAGCAGTGGTGGGGTATGCACAAAGCAGCAGAAATCTTTACTAGATTGCTGCTTATTCGAGGGGTTAAAAGAACTGATGTATCTACTAAATGGCTAAGTAATTGCAAAGAGGACAGCAGCATCCTGGATAGAAGTCTCTCCCTTTCATTAAGTGCTGCAAGAAAGATGATTGCCTGCTCCTGTTCCTACAAACGAAACTGCTTCAGTTGACTCTGTTTGGTATTTGTAGCCTCTGGAGTTATTAAAACACTCTGAATGCAGATTAACTTCCCATGCTTGATACACCACAGCGTAACCACCCCCTTGACCTTTGGTAAACATGCTGGAGGGCAGTCTTTTCCATAACTTCTGCTGGTGAATTTGTGCCCTCTGTTGAACAACTCTGAAAAACTCTTTGTGCAGCCCTCCCAGGGATGGTGCAGTGCAGGCTGCTTCGCTCTGGCACCAGCAACGTATGGGGTCTTGTCTCCCTCCCAGCCCCTGGAGAAAACTCACGCTGTCCTCATGCTGGTGATTTACCAAATGTGCTCTATCTCACCTTCCAACAGATCTAAAAAACATAGGTGTTTTTCTCTACTTCAGAGGGATGCATTCAAACTGAAATTTAATAGGAATTTCCCTAGGAGAGTGGCTTGAATAACTGAGACCTTATCCACCCTTGAAAATGACAATTTTGTGTGTTGTGAACATTTCACAGGTGTGTTACAGTGGATTTCTTTCTCTATGGACAGAGTTGCATTACTCTGTGGACACCGTGCTGCGTTCACACATTCTTGTTTCTGTGCAGGAGTGAGCTAGGGAGTCATGAACGTACACTGAACGTCCTACATGAGAGTATTACAAAGGTTTGGGCCAAGTGCTGTAGTGGTACTGTGTCACTGTAGTTAAAGGCAGAACTCTGGCATGTGGACAAGCCCTGTGAAAAGATTAAGCCAGAGAAAGTTAATAAAAAGTGGTGTCCTAAATTATTCATGAATCCATTTGTAATGTACTTGCTGGGAGGCTTTTGTTTTTTCTCAAACTCTTATTTATTAAAATCTGACAAGAATATCGGGTTTTGTTCAATAATAAATCTAGGTCTCTGTGAAGCTGGTGATATCCTCATGTAGTAATACAGAATCAAAATGGAGTTACATGCTAAGGGTGCATATGTTATTTACTTTGGAAGAATAGATTATTGTTCAGAAGGATTTTATCTTTTACTTGCAATTTGAAAATGAATTTATTGTTGTTTTAAAATATAGCTGGGAATGTGCTCCTGGTTTTGAGACTTGGATGCTGCAGAAGATTTTAAGTGTATTAAAACTCAGTTAAGTGTACTTATGGTGGTTGTGGAGGTTCTGGACCAGTATTTGCTAAATCTGATAGTTCTTATGGTCCAGTTTCATACTTCACTGACATCATACTTAAAGCTTGTGGATTTTGTTTTGCAAACTGTGTCCATAAATGCCCTCTTCTTTCTATGTCCGTGAAAACATGAGATAAATTGTACTCAGAAAGTATTGGAAAGGAAAAAAAAAAAGGCAGGAAGAGAGTTTTACTGATTGGGGTATAATAGAAAACAATAATTTGAGTGCATTAGCTGTAGAAGCAGAACTGGGAGTTTAGAAGACCGGTCTGAGCTGGAGAATGATGCATACATTTATTTGCATAAACTTGGCTTACGAGTCACTTTCTTGTAAAAACAGGTTGAGCAGAACATGCTCCTGTCCCATACTTTAGTCCTGAATACAAACACAAATGTACTGTGACACAAGTGCTCTGAGAGTACCATCCTCTTATTGCCATGGATTGCAGCTGGAGCTCTGCAGCTTGAAGTAAGCTACAAGTATCATGTATACACACACACATACGCCTTGAAGGATATCTGGTGTGGTGCTCAGGGTTAAAATATCTGAGTAGTCTTAATCAGCTTCTGCTTCAAGTTTGAATCTGGTGTTTGAGACTTGGTTGCTAAGAAAAGCTATGTGTTGGAGCACCAGTCACTAGCCATTAAATGAGACACTCGGTAAACTTGGGGAGGGAAAGAGAAACATGAAGTGTGAAGGAAGATCATTGAAAGAGGTCGTTATTTGTGGCTGATCATCCTGGGTAGATTTGGAGAGATATAGACTTTCACCTTGGAAGCTTGCTTTGCATTTTCAACATCAGAAATGTACAAAATACATGAGGAAGGGACATGAGGGATATTATCATATTTTGCCAAAGGTTGATCAAAACACTATTTAAAATGAAACTTCAGCTCTTCCTTATGCAAGCTTAAAAATCCTGAAGAAAACTTTTGACAATTAAAAGATGGATGCTCTGCTATGGTTTAATAGACTAGGAGAGATGAGAGGCTTATTTTAATAGAGAATCAGAACCCACGTCTAAGGTACAAGTGAATCCTGTGGGTTGGATTTGGGAAATAACTCTTCCCTTTGGAAACCCACCAAGCATGAAATGATGATCTCTTTCTTCCTGAAGAAATTTTTTTCTTATTCTTTTCTGACTTTTTTTTTTTTGTTTTTTTTTTTTTTTTTTTTTGTTTTGTTTTGTTATGAGTTTTGGTGGAATGGGGTCAAGATGGGGACTCTGAAACCTTGCTTTGGAATCAAGATATTTGTCTGACTTGTTTACTTGTTTGCCCCTGGTGGAATCAGTGCTGCTGCAGCTTCATTGCCATGGGAACCTCCACTTACTAAATTTAATTTAGCCCAAGGTTTGCTTGTCTGCTCTGTTGCTGCAGTGTAGACAGGTGATAAGCAACATATTGATATTAAGCTATATCATATCAAAATGATTAGGCAGTGCTGCAGCATCTGTGGTTCCACTCTTATGCTGTGCTTTAAGCTACCCAGCCTTCCTGCACCTGCATCCAGCCTCCTCCACTCTTCTGGCACAGCTGAGGCAGCATCACCTGTGTAATCTTTCTGGTCCAGCAACTGAGAAAGGTAGGGGCTGCAGGCAACCTTTGCGTGCTGATGGTGCTCCTTCCTGCTCTGCAGAGCAGCCAAGCACTGAGTGTCCACAGAAATACTGCTGGAGAAGGGAGGTCTGTGCCCCTAGGAACTATGGCATGTGGTCCCAGTGCTTCTGTATCATCCACTGTGGTATCAAGTCTCCAGAGGAACAGGTCCTGTTGATGCAAGGCCAGATCAAACTGGGAGCAGGGAGATGTCTGAAACAGAGTGGGATGTGTCACCTAGTCTTGTCTTAAAGTTTTATTAGCTTTCTTATACATGGCAAACATTACAGGTTGTTGGGTTGTCTTTTTTTTTTTTTTTTTTTTTTTTTTAATTGGCATCATTTTGTGTTCAGATGGCCCTTCTTAGATGGTAATGATGAGCCTGTAAGTCTGAGATGCTCTCAATTCCAATACTTCCAGCAGAAGTGGTGGAAGTATGCATTTATTGCATCCACACTGTGGAGAAAGGTAAATTGTAGGCAAGACTTTGTCATGGAAAGGCATGTTGTATGATTTGCAGCAGAATAATTGATTTTGTAGGTCTTCCACAATTGTTGGAGTTGTTTGTTGCTAAGGTTTTGTCCCTCTGTAGTTGAGTTTACTGATACTGCATCGCTTTGTACAGAATTTGGAACTGAGCAGTGTGTGTAAACCACTATGTTAAAATGCTGGCTAAGTATTGATTAATCAGTAAATGCTTTAAGCTATTTCCTTTAAATTCCGGGACCACACATCTTAATTTAATAGTTGAGAGAGATGGGGAAGGACACTGATCTGCACAATAGTACATACTTTCTGTGGTGTTTGTTCATGGCGAGTATTTTCAAACCAAGAAAAAGATTTTAGGAATTGTGATGATTTTCTGGTTGATGTTATCTGCTAAAATGACTCTCTTTCTTGTAGATACTATATTGGCCGCCAGATGTTTGTGGTGATCTCCGCACCGGAGGTGATCAAGCAAATCTTAGTGACAGACTTCAGTAACTTCACCAACAGAACTGTAAGTAGATAGAAGGTCCTCTTTGTGGACAGAGGTGATAATACTGCTAATTTGAGCTCAGATCAGAAGCGGCCACAAGACAGCTGGAAACGTAGTGGGGGAAAGCATGTGGTTCAATAGAACTTAAAGGTTTAGAAACTCTATGTGTTTCAGTCAAAGATTTTTATTACCAGAACTCAGAAGATGAAAGGGACTGCCATTAAAAGAAATACAATGCCCTTGTGACTGAGGCACCAAATAGATGTAGGAGAGAGAGAGAGTTTCAATATCCAGTTTTGCCACTTACCTCCTAGGAAAATCCCATACTAGCTCTTTCCCTTGGTTCTCACCCTGTAGTATAGGCACAGTATTATTTGCTTTCTCCTACTCTTGGTCTCCTTTGTCTATTTAGATTTTCTAGGGCGGGAATGGGCTGCTGGGGCCTCTCTCAGCTGACATAGGTTTCTTAGCGCTTTGAAAATAAAGAATAGAAAATAATTAAATTGGGATTTGCAAGGATTTATACATATACTGCTGATCACTTATTTTACTTATAGAAATATATATATATTGAAAAGCACTTTTCTGAGTTCTGGTTAGAACAAATAAAAAAGAGGGAGGGAATAGCCAGAGATATAGTAAATATTTCTGTCAGTTTCTCATCATTTTGTATCACTGTGACCACATACTGCCATCCATTCTTTTCTTCCTCCTGGCCCCTTTGTATGCGCAAACCTGCTCACGTAAACCTGCATGCATTCATGTCCTCAGGGAAAATTTCATCTCTGATCAGCTGTTTGCCTCCTCTGCCCCTCTGATCCTCTCCGCAGCCAGTCAGTTTGTTTGCAGATTGCTTGTCTCCTTTGCTTGCTTCTTCTGCTACATGAAGTTCATCTTGTGACTACTTGTATCTTATTTAATAACCACTTGTACCAGTCACCTTGCATTCTGCCTGTAACTCACATCTAAATGGAAGAATCAGTGTGCAAGCTTCCTAGGCTGAAGTTGTTGCATGCTGTAACATTCTTTTCCCCATTTTCTCTGTATTCAAAAGAATTTTCTGCCCTTTTCCTTCTTCAGTCCTCATTCATGTAACCTATTTCTTCCTGTTTATGTGCCTTTCTCCTGTATATTTGGTATGAGTAGGTTGTTTGCACTATTCACAACTGTAGCTGATGCCCAAACAACACCTTTTGAAACTAGAGATCATTCCTTTTCGGATATATTCAAATACTCCCTCTACACTTAATTTCAGTCGGTCTCACCACTTGAATATATTGGCTGAATTTTACTTTCTCTTCAGACTTTTGTGGTGGGAGGTTTATCTCTCTCTTTTGGTTGTACAGCCATCTGTCCTGGTCTAATATTTGTTTTCCTCTCAAATTCAGGTAATTCAGATCACTGTAACCAGTCTCTCTCCCCTTTTATTTTCTTCATCAGAGATCAGCTAAGTCTAGTTGTCTGTGTAGATTCATATCTTGTCCATATCTCTTGACTGTCCTTGAACCGTCTGTAAGTTTTTTTGCACAACACCCTCCTTTCTGCATGAGGAGCTGAGGCACAGACTGGTTAATATCCCTGCTACCTACCAGCAAGCATGTGACAGATGTCCTACCTTTCTTTTTAAGAAAAGGAACAGTTTTTCCCCCTGTACACTGTTACTATATCTGAGTTGCTCAATGCCTATAAGCCTAATTCAAATGAACTTGCTTTATCTTGTGTACTTTTATCTGCTCATTCCATGGTCTTTTCACATAGCTGCAATCTTTGGGTGTTACCTTTTACTTTCCACTTTGTTTCTCTTCTTCTGCCTTTTACTTATCATTAGTAAAAGATAAGCAACCTTCCATTTCTGGGTCCTTCCACATTTGGCTTGGAAATCTTTTTTCCTTTTTGAATTTTCATACTGGGTGCTCTCTCTTTCATAAATCTCTCAGTGGGGTGTTCTGATATGCAGTATACTAAGGATTCTCTGTGTGTTAATAAATAGTGCTGTACTGTATGTAAAGAAGGTCAGCAGATTTTGTTCAGGTATAATTTTGGTTGTAAGTGAATACTGATGGAAAGATGAGAGTGGGGAAAAAACAGTTTCAAGAAAGAGATCCTTCTCATATTGACTGGATAAATGTAATTTTAAGGCTTTAATAACGTTCTGTTTATACTTGTAAAAACTACTGAAAGCAAGCTTCTCTACTTCAAGCGAGAGTCAGTTTGATGGGAGAATTCAAAACACAAACTAGATCTCTCTGCCTTATTTTATCCATTCCTTTCCCAAATGATGTGCTGTTGAGTGGTTATAGAATTGGCTTTGGAGTCAGTGCTGTTCACAAATTTAAGCTAATACATTTCAATCCAGACGTGGTATTCACTTATGTTGTTGTTTAACGTGGTAAGCAGATAAACACCATGCAGCTGTTCACTTGCTTTCCCCAGCCAGTGGGGTGGGGGTGAAAAGTGAATGGAAAAGTGCAAGAATTCATGGATTGAAATAAGTATAATAAAGAAAAAAAAAAAAAAAAAGTGAAAAGATAAAGCACAATAACAAGAAGAATAAACAAAGCACAATTATTCACCAGCCGCTGACCAGTGCATAGCCAGACACCAAGCAGCACCTACTCCAGGCGGCTCCTCCAGGTGTATTGTTCCACATGATGCCCTGTGGTATGGGATATCCATTTGGTCAGCTAAGGTCAGCTGTCCTGGATGTGTTCCCTCCCAGCTCCTCAGCATCCCTACTGGCAGGGCAGAACAAGAAGCTGAGAAGTGCTTGACTTAGTGTAAGCACTCCTGTGTAACAACTAAAACATCAGTGTGTTATTAAAAATATTCTCATCCTAAATATAAAACACAGCATCATACCAGCTACTAAGAAGAAAATTAACTCTATCCCAGTTGAAACCAGGGCAGTTTATTTTGACCTAACACATTATCTCAAGCATCAGTTTTTCAGAGTGGGAAACATGGGAATGGAGAAAGCCCCATGGGTGTGAACAGCCCTTGAGAAAATCCAGCATGTTCTTATTTTTTCTTTCCCACTTTTTTTTTTTTTCTCCCAAAATTCATTTCCAAAATCTAAATTTGTGCCTCATACACCAGAGAGGAAATGTGAATTATCTAACCCTGAATGCCACACAAAGAGAGATTATTCACCATGTTCTGCAGCAGTTGCATCAACAGCGTGTTAACATTGTCACTAACTTGAACGATGGATAGGATGATGTCTAAACACCTGGTGTATTACAGGGTAGAAAATATTTATGTTTCCTGTGTATTTTTCTGCTCTTTCAACTGCCTAAATATGTATATATTACAGTAAGAGACAATGGGAAATTCAACTTGTGAAGGGTTGCAAACAGTGGATGTACTTGATAGACAAGAGCAAATCAGGCGATGATTCAGTGAACTTGGAGCTTTTATTAAAGCTATTCATAATGTACTGTCATGTCTTTGAGCGCTTGTAAGAAGGATGACCTTAATCTGAGATTGTGCAATTGCCGGCAAAGTCACTATTTGTTGGCAAGTAGTCAGGAGATCATTATGGAATCAGGGTGGTTTTAATCTTCTTAGAGGACTATTGGAAGAGTTTGTTTAGTTTAATACCTGGATGAGAGATCCCATGTTTCAGTGAGGGAAACAGATAAAGGGCTGTGCTCCCTGCAGCCTGGGAGGCTGAGTCTAAAGTGTAAGAAGACATGTTGTGCAGCTGTATTGATGTGAGTGCCAGGCTATGGCATGTGGGGATTCTTGACTAAGAACTATTCTCATGGAGTAGGAAAGGTCACCTTTGCCTTGTTTTCTTCTAGAGGGAGGGCTGAAATAATGAGAGTTTTATCTTTCTCATTTTTTGTGTGTGCCAGAAGGAAGCTGGCATGGTGTTGTATTTGGCCGAAGGGACATGACTGTGGTGGTCCTGATTCAGGGACTTATTTTCAGTAACTGGGTGTTTTGTTACTGGATTGACTGGGTGCCATAAGGATTCTTCCTTGCTTGCCAAAGCAAAGCAATAACAGTAGGTGCTGGGTGTATTGGGCCTATCCATGCTGGTTGTGTCTATTCTTGAATGACAGCTGTGAAAAGGCAGCGTCTTGCATCCTCTTTCCATACCCAGAGAGAAGTAGAACACTTCTCCTGCATTGAGCCTGAGTGCTCGCTTATTATAAGGACAAAATAGATTTTGCATGTGAACAGGTGCCAAATGATTGGTAATTTTTTTGTGAATATGTTTCCCTTTGATACTACATATTTCACATCTTTGCTATGAATATCTTTTGAATAATGCTTTGAAAAGACTTTTAGATTCCTTTGCCCTCTTATATTGTTTCTGAGCTACCGATTAATAATTCTTGTGACAGAAACCTATGATGACTGCAGATCAAATCTGCATTAAGGTTCACTTCATTTTAGAGCAAGCAACCAGGTCTTGCACAGAGAGTGTTAGTCTCCTGCAGGTGTGGGGTATATTTTATGTTAACCATATAATCACAAAAAAGCTATAATGACATCCTGTTTTCCCACTTAATTTTGACTTGAGTAAGGTGAGCATTGTAGGCATTTAAAAATAGAAAGGTCTACTGTAATGTACCTTCATACTTGAGGCATATGAAGCCTTTTCCCCATGTTTTTAATTATACTTGAAGAAGAAAAGATGAAAATTAGCTTATAGACCTTCTGCCAAAAATGTGGAACTGATTTTAGTTTAAGTTAACTATGGAAACCTCAGCCAGAATGCTAGGCAGGGCTGTGCCACAGTGAATAATACCTTCTTCTCACAAGTGTGGTAAGTTGTCTCTTGAATAGAAGTTTTCTTTTAAGAGCTCTAGGACTATTCTTTAACCTTTTTTAACTGCATTATTGTGTTGTGTGTGAGACACATTTATGATGTGTAGTATGTTGCATTCTGCCAGGCAGGATAATGATACATAACCTGTTTTCAGATTGTTTGTAATTTGCGTATTGAAAATTTGTTTTTGAATTAGTACTGGAGAATCATTAAAGTGTACAATTAAAAATGTAAGAGCAGA